CTATTGCAAACTTGGACCTATTGAGTAAGCTGAAGTAGCTGTCCTCCATCCAAACTTTTGCTTTAGAGGGAAACCTAGCCAGAATTGCCCCTCCTGGTCTTTACCCAGTGTCTCTTGCTGAATAATGTAGTGTGTAGGTTACTTTAGGAGCCACTGTGATGTGCGTAATGTCACCAGCATTCAGTGTCAGTGTTCATGTATGATTGCTGGCCAGTCAGGCAATGTCTTTGGAGAGAGAAACCGTTCGCATTTCAGGTTGAACGTTCATCAGAATTGTCTTCATTGCTTCTATGTGTCCTGATGAATATTTCTAGCAGCATTTTCTGTTTTTATTTCAGACTTCCAGCATTCCCTGTATTTTGATTCTGTAAAATTGATAATTTGAAGCATTATAGAATCAGAACCTTCAGGGAAGGAGGAGGAAAAAGAGAAAATAATTTTTTTTTAAATGAAAGCTGTGGAAGTATTACCGTTGAATATTTTAGAAACAATGGAATGGTCTGTTCAATATTAGATGACGAGTTCTGTTAGTTTCTCCATCTTTTCAGTTGAATTAAATTTTGGCCCTCTTAGCTTCCTACTATACTTGCGTACTTGGTTATACTTGCCAATAGCTGATTGAATTAATTTCTTAAACTCATTATGGTGAGGGATATTACTGGGGATTGAAATTTTTTTCTGCTTTTAGTAATTAGTATCAACACCTAACTTGCCCATTACATTTTTAACTTACCCTCATGAATAATCAGTTTCTTAATTCACTCCTGGACATTGAGTCAACATTGAGAGTTACAGCAAGCAACTTTATAAAATTTCTCTTTCGCTAAACTTCGCAAAAGTCACACAAGTACCATCTGCTTTTCTAATCTTAAATCTGTCAGATTTGTCTTGTTTGATGTGCCCAGACTTTGCCACATTCCTACTCCGGTTGCATTTCTTGACACTAATTCCTAAAATGCTGTCTGTTTTATGTCCAGTTGTTCTCGCCCAACCTACTGCTTCAATCTTTGCCGTTTTCAGCACTTTGCTCTTCTGCTAGTCCCTTTGATGTCTGCTTCTTAAGCTTGTTTCACACTTCCAATGCCTGTCTGCAGCAGCTACCTGTTGTGCTGAAATATCCTTGACAAGGCTAGTTTTATGCAAGTGTCTTTCCCTCTACTCGTCTCCAAAATTAATAAATCCTTGTTCTCCTTATTTATTTCTCTAAATATTTATTTGAACAGATACTTTGAACCATGAAGTTGCAATTTCTGTAAAGTGATGTGGTATAAATCGGATGCACAACTTTGACTTGATGGTTTACTGTGGCATTGGTGAGTTGTAAAGACTTTTTTTGGTAAACCACTAAGCCTCGTTGTATATCCTTTACGTACATAAATCTCTGTTTGAAATGTAGAAGCCACATTCCAGTTTGGATTATGCCAAGTTAATTGATTATTACAGTGCTCGATTATAAACAATTTATGCTTGTATAGGATCTCTTACATAGCAGCATTTCCTACAGCACTTTGTTGAGGGTCTAATCTCCTAACAAGCAGGCATTAAAGGAGGTAGCCAAATGTATGGATTTTTAAGGATGAGGAGAAATATGGCAATACAACTAATGGGTTTTAGGAAAGTGAATGCAGAATTTTGGGCCATGGTGCCCTTGTTCCAAGTGATGAAATGTAGCAAACAAGTAGTATTACAGATTCAGAAGGTGGCAGTTGCGAAGTTGACGGTGGGGGGTTACAAATGATGGAGTGAGAACATGGAGGAATTTCTAAAGGAGGACAAAGATTTTTCTTTATTCATTTGTGAGATGTGGGTGTCACTGACTGGGCCACCATTTATTACACACCTCTAATTGCCAAGAAGGCAATTGGCATGTTGTTGTGGTTCTGGTGTCAAGTGCAGGCCAGACCATGTAAGGACATCAGTTTGCTTCCCTAAAGGGCATTAGTGAATCATGGGCTTTTTCCCTGACAATCAACAATGGTTTTATGGTCATCATTAGGCTTCTAATTCCAGATATTTATTGAATTCTGATTCCACCATCTGCCATGTTAGGTTTCAAACCCAGGTACCCAGAACGATACCAAATCTAGCGATAAGCTAGATCATCATTAGGTCGTCACCTCCCCATTTAATCAGTGCATTGCAGGTTGAGAGAATAGTTGGGAATTCCTTTATGAAAAGACATTGTAATGAATTTTAATGTATGTATTTGACTTGCATATTGGAATACAGTAAAATTTTCAAAATTTACCAAGGATACAAAGTTTGTTGGTGTGACAGACCGGGACGATGATACCAGTCAATGGCAACAGGGCTGTCGGAATGGGCAGAGAATTGTGAGGTGATGCATTTTGCAGAAGGGACAGGGACAGGCAGTGTCTATTAGTTTTAAATATTGCAGAAGTACCTTAGGCTTTGCGTGCATAGATTTTTGAGGGTTAGCAAAGAGGCTCTGCAAACTAACAGAGTCGATGGATTGAATAATTAGCATTGCCATAATGACTCTGTTACTAATTAGTGAAAAAGTTAAGGGTTAAGTAGCATTTGAAATGCACCATTTTAACATTCCTAAATGGAATTAATTTCGGACCTGTTCTCACCATTGTGTTTTTGCTTAGGAGTGCAAGTACTTGAAGTGGTGTCCTATATGGATGTATCTCATATCTTTAGGAACATAAGCATGTTCTAATTTACAATAGGTTGTGGCTGCCACCAGGACCAGAGACAGAAGTCACTTACCCTGGTTGCTACTCCTAGCTCAGGACCCTGGCCCTCTACCTGAGAAAAGCAGTCCTGCACCAAACCTGAGCACAGTGGGCCCCCACTGGAGCCCAGACCTGGTTAATGGGCCCTAATGTATCCCTGTGCCAGGCCCTGGCTACCACTGCGTGTTTCAGTCAGTTGGGAAAATGGATGTTACCAGCCTATGCTAGTAAGAGCCTCTCTCTTTATTACTGGAACATGCATTATTCTAGAATGTGTTTTGCTACCCTCTAGATTAAAGCCTATCTTGAAATTTTGCTACCGATCTAACTTACAGATATAAACCAGTTGGTTCTCTTGTATTTGTGCTGCCTGAAGCTTTGTTCCACGAGAATCATATTGCAATATCAAACATGCTAATAGAACATAATAGATAGTAAAATAAAATCTCAATTTTAAATTTCACCTTTGTTTGTAATTGTATCTCAGGTGCCCATTCTGTATTTATGCCACAAACCGTCCTTCAGCCATGGAATGCCATTTAAGGACACACTACAAAATGGAATTCAAGTGTCGGATCTGTCAAGTGGTGAAAATGAATCAGCTAGAATTAGAGATGCACATTCGTGAACATCGCCTCGGCAACCACTACAAGTGTGATCAGTGTGGCTATCTCTCCAAGACAGCCAATAAGTTGATAGAGCATGTTCGTGTTCACACAGGGGAGCGTCCTTTCCATTGTGACCAGTGCAGTTACAGCTGCAAACGCAAAGACAATCTAAACCTACACAAAAAGCTGAAGCACTCTCCTCGACAGACTCTGTGCTGTGACGAATGCTTCTTCACAACCACGCATCCATTTGTCTTTAGCCGCCATGTGAAGAAACATCAGAATGGTGAATATCTGGAAGAGGAGAAGAAAGGGAGGATGCAGCCTGTGACTTGGAAAGAAAGTAACCCTGTTTTAAACAGCAGAAATTCTAGAAACATACTTTCACCGCTATCGGTTATGTCAGCATCACAGGCTTTGCAGACTGTTGCACTGTCGGTGACTGGCAACAATGGAATTTCAACTGGATCAGCACTTGGCTTATTTGGCTTGAATGGTATTTCAGCACGTCTCAGTAAATACAGGAACTGTGATCTCACACACCTTATTCCACTGACTACACTTTTTCCACAAAACAAATGTGAAGCTACATTCCATTCGTCTCAGCAGCAAACTGCACCCCCAGGTACTGTTTCTCCCAAACACTCATTCTTGGCCTACCTCGGCCTAACTGAACAGGCGACTTCAGTTTCTGTTTCAGTTGCAGATTGAATAGTGATTATTGCTGCAATACAATATTTTTTTCAAAAATGTTTATTATTGTAGAAGAGTAGAATGTGTAGAAGTGGCTGTAAATGCTTCTTGTATTCATATAAGTGCTGCTTGAATTATATATAAAGTACTTAAATGTCCATAATTGAATGGAAACCCAAGTATTGGAAAGAGGTAGTTGAACTCTGGGCTGAAACAGACGCCCAGGCTAAAAAAAAAATGTGATGAGGCAGAATTTTGCACAATGCTTAGTCTTGCACATTTTTGTGTTTCTTAAAGTAGTATCATTTTCTACCTAGTGTTACTAATTTCAAAGCAGCAGTATGTTGACTAAATCTGATCAATACGTTAGTGATCAGTCACATTTATTTTGGCACCAACCATTAGCACTTTGAAAGATGCATGACATTGCTGACGTTTGTTTTCAGCATTTATCATCTCCAAGCTTTAGGCTGGCACATTGATGTTTTTGCATTCAATGCAGTATAAATGATCTCTGCACTATATTTGGAGTTCATCTTCAGCCATATAATTGTGTTCCAGTGTTTTTTTTTTGATAATGCAGCATTGTTTTCGGTATTTTGAGCTTCTTGTAGATGCTGTGCATGCATGTGTGTACGAATATATATTATAATATATATTTATAAATATGGCGTGTATATATATTATCATATATATTTATATGTTTTGCTTTGATTTAGCTTTGCTGCATTTAAAAGAAAGGCTGTTTGTGACAGTAATTGGCACTTAGACTTTTTTGCTATCTTTCACATTCAGTTGCATTACCAATGCCTAGTGTAACTTGCAGTATATTCAAAATAAATCTGCATTATTTTGGTTTCCTAGTTCTTTTATTTATCTGTTCTCACTTTTATTCCTCACAGGATAGCATTTGTATGCTTATTTACAACATAAATTTTTATTTCATTCCTTATACTCATGGATTTGGTAAATTGAAACTGGAGCTGACGCACAAAGTCCAGCCCATTTCACAGTAAATGTAATGCTGTACAGTGAGACTGATTTCCAAGTTCAACATGGACTTTGTAAATCTTTCTTGAATCAAGACATTGTCCAAGCTATTCACAAAAAAGAAGTTTTGTCAAACATCACTTTATTATGTATTTGTTTTAATTTTCATTCTTGTCAGTTGATCTTCAAACTGAGTTCTGTCATTTATAGATAAATTATGCTTTCTAATAGTTTTGTTCACAACTGAGAGTCCTGCATTGTGTTATAACTGTGCTGTATTGAATGTAGTGGGAACTGAAAACCTTGGTTCATCCCAGCTAAACAATATGTAATGTAAAAGTACTGTTGCATTCTCAGTAGAAACACTTTGTGTAATACATGCTATTAGAAGGCAAGATCAATTTTTAAACTGTCTTCTACTTCAGAACTTGTACCACACGAGGCAGACAGATCAGCTTTCTTAACTTTAAAACTATTTTTGTTTCTAAACTCCTGCATTTTGATCTATTATTTTAGATTTAGTTGCACCCCACATCCATTTATAACTGCAATTCAGATTATTGCATTGACTATGGCACCAAACTGTAATTGTGCATCAAAAGTTAAATAATACAGTGGCTATTTCAAATATTCCTTTGAAATAAATACCTATTCTGCAGATCTGAATTATGGGTGGATTGACTTGACTTATTTGTATCTAAACTCCAGGTCTGACTATCTTTGGATCCTTTCTTACAGAACAGACGCTCCAATGATCCTGTAATAGCCTATCCCCACTGCTAAATATAAATCAGACACATCAAAGTCTTTGTATTGCTGACTCTTGTAAACAATGCTTTCCTATAGTGTTATCCAGCATCCTTTCGTAATGCAGGTTGTCAATTAAACACTGTGTGCTTTTGCTGATAGACTCCACTTGAATTCTGTGATCTTGTTTAATGGCAGTGTAGACTAGATCAGTTTTCTGTGCAACAGCTTCTAAATCTGCAATGAAGTAAACTAGAGCAATAATTCTCTTTTCTGAAGAGTCATATCGGCCTTAAAATGTTAACTTTGTTTCTCTGTCAAGCGATTGTTTTATTTCAGATCTCAAGCATCCACAATACTTTGCATTTAGCAATTCTGTGTGCCTGCTGCCATTTTAATAGTGGTGGAATAATTAAAGTGGGACTCTTAATTAGAGACACAGCTGTACAGCATGGAAACAGACCTTTGGTCCAACCTGTCAACGCTGACCAGATATCCCAAATCAATCTAGTCCCATTTGCCAGCACTTGTCCCATATCCGTGCACACTCTTAATATTCATATACCCATCCAGATGCCTTGTAATTGTGCCAGCCTCCTCCACTTCTACTGGCAGCTGATTACATACACACACCACTCCCTGCATGAAAAAGTTGTTGCTTCGGTCCCTTTTAAATTCCCCCCCAACCTCACCTCAAACTTGTAGTTTTGGACTCCACTACCCTGGGGAAAAGACCTTGGCTATTCACCCTGTCTGTGCTTTTGTGATTTTATAAACCTCTATGAGGTCACCCCTTAGCCTCCGACACTCTAGGGAAAATAGCCCCAACCTTTTCAGCCTCTTCCTAAAGCTCAAACCATCCAATCCTGGCAACATCCTTGTAAATCTTTTCTGAACCCTTTCAATTTTCACAACATCCTTCCTTTAGCAGGGAAACCAGAATTGAACAGAGTATTCCAAAAGTGGCCTAACCAATGTCCTGTACAGCCTCAACATGACCTCCCAACTCCTATACTCAATGCACTGCCCACTTAAACAGAAAATTACACAATTTACATAACCAGAATCTACTATTTAGAGTTAAAATGACTGAAGCTTGTGTTTTGAAACCCACTCCCTACTCCCTGCTCCAAGCTCCATTCACTGGGTACTGAATCCATTCCTCACTCTGGCAGCTGTCTTAGATTAAGGCAGAGATAGTAGGAACTGCAGATGCTGGAGAATCTGAGATAACAAGGTGTAGAGCTGGATGAACACAGCAGGCCAAGCAGCATCAGAGGAGCAAGAAGGCTGATGTTTCGGGCCTAGACCCT